ATTCCTGGTTCCACCAAATCTTTCAGCAATTTTCCTTTAAAATATTTCTTTTGCCAAACATGGCCTACTTGTCTTGTTCACCCTCAGACTCACTTTCTTCTTCACCATCCATTCCTCATCTTCAGAAACTCTAACTTGTTTTCTTTTCACTCCAGACCTTGTCCTCTTGGCCAATGAAGGTTCAACAGCCTTAGACACAGATGAAGACTTCTTGGAAGAAGTCTTGGTCCTTTTAGGTTTGGGGGTCCGAACCTCCACTGTTGTACCTTTCTCCTGATGGACCTGTTCCATGTCCTCAACATCAACAGCTTCTGAGGACTCTACAATCTACCTTTTCCTTTATCCGTCCTTTTCTTCTTACTTTTAGCCAAAGCCTTTTGTAGGTGAATCTCACTCTGTTTCACCCTGCTTCTTGTGGCTCTTCCCTTTGGCAATGGAGTTTCAGTGGATTTTGGGGAAGAAGCCTTTCATTTCTTGGAAGGTTTAGCAGCACCGGGGCTTTTGGTGTTGGAGTTCTCCTCTTCTTTCGGTCATAACTTGCACCTAACTTTTTCAGAAGGTCTGCTAGGGTCTCTTCAATTGATGAACCAGGTTCATCTCCCTGTGAGCTTAGATTAACTAGCCCCTCAACAGTCTCCCCTGAACAACTTCCCCATGACTTCTTGCCACTTTCTTCAACAGTTTCCTGTGCAACCCCACAAATAGCAGGTACATGCAATTCAGCAGTGGGTGAATGATCAACCACTCCTTTTCCTTTTCCCCTCACGTCACCACATTCAACCTCTCTCTCTTTTTCTTTATACCTCAACTCCTTCCAAACTCAGGTAATTCCACATCCCTTATAGGTCCAACCAAAACAAACCTATTTTCTAAATTTTCAGTCAAAGAAGAACTTACCTTAGAAGGGAATTTTTGAGCCTTCTCAGAGTCAGAAGACCCAAGTCCTTCCCCCTCTCTAGCAGATCTGAACGAATCAGACTCAGAGTCAGAATCAGAATCTTGGGCCTGACTTGCCTTTAATTTTTTATTCAATTTCTTTGAAACAGCACCAAATGCCACCGTTTTGCGAGCAAGCATTTTTATCTCCTTCGCCTGATTTGGGGAGTCAGGCTAGGTGGAGGAGGGGTAGATGAATCAGAGGGAGTAGGCTGTAGAAGAGTTCCAGGGATGTCTTGAGGGTTCGCCATTATAGCTGATTGCTTGAGAGAATTTGTGAGTTAAACCTTTGGAAAAGAAAGCAATTTAGAGTGAAGAAGGTTTTTGACGGTTTTGAATTATGAGGGCGGCAGGAATTAATAATGAGTTTTTAAAGGGAAAGATTCATTTAATGGATAACGGTAGCTTTAGCAGTCAATTAGAGGTCTAATCAACCTGAATTTGCAGGTTGATCGAGCGGTTAGGCTTCCCTAGATTTTAGGCATTTTTTGTTATTAGAATTCTAATGCGGACAGAGTTGGTTAAAAAACAAACGGATAGGATTTTCTAATGAGTTGAACAATGGTAGGACTCTACTCATGATTTAAATATTTATATTTCTAATTGTGCAGAGTATAGAAAACATACCTTAGCATTCACATGAACCAATACAGATGAATCGGGTTCTTCATTTAGAATTCTCTTGATCATGCCTCAATTTACCACAATAGAGAAAATTTTGTATGAGATCAGTGAGTCATATTAATACATGTTGATACGCTCAAATAACACTTTTATAAATTGTGTAAGGCGGTCGATGCCAAATATAATAACCCAACAAGGTTGGGGTCGAATCCCACAGGGAATAGGTGTGAAAAGGTTACTAGAATAGTGTGTTACTCGACTAAAGTCGTAATCCTATCCAATTAACGGTAACAAGAGTGTGAATTAATAGTGACAAAAGTATGAATTTAGTTTGTTTTGAAGTAACAACCAATTGGAATATTGAAGGTGTAATTAATAGGATTAAAGAAACTAAGGTTGTGTCCCCTTGAATGAAATGTAATGCTATCGGTGTTAATATGATATATTTCTAATGGTTGGTCCCTTTGATATGCAAATGATGTCTAAGTAACTACCCAATATTTTCCAATAGTTGGGTAGTATTTCCTCTTTATAATTTTTCCAAATGTAACAGAGTTGCAATTAATAACAATCAATACATGCCAAATAAAACCCACTTAACCCTAAGCGATTTTATTAAACAAGGTTTAAAGCCTTGAGTCTTTGATATTTACTTTTACCAAATTCTAACCCACTTTCCCAAGCAAAGTAGAATTTAATGGCACTTGTTAATGTTTGCAACCACCAACAATAAATGAAGTACGAGAAATAAATAAATATTAACCAACCATTATATATATATGCAATGTTAAACACCCATTAACATAACACCCATTTAGGGGCCACAACCTAAGTATTTAGAGTTAGCTACTCATACTAAAATACAAAAGCAAGAGAATAATAAAAGCCATAAAGCTTACTAAGGGTACATTCTTGACCCCAAAAGACTCCAAAAGTGAGGAGTATTAAAGTCTTGGAATGTAGCTCAAAAACCAGACAAGATGACCCCACAAAAACATCATAAAGCTATATATAGTGGACTGAAAATCGTGACAGAAAACGGACAAAAATACCCTTTCAGGTCAGATATGTGGTCGCATTCTCGTCGCATAAGCGACATGCGGTTCGCATTTTGGACGTCTCCATCGCATACTGAAACCCTAGTTTTCACATCTTCATCGCATTCCAGCTCTGCGGTTCGCATTGCAGAAACGTGATCGCATTTTGCATCGCACATTCGTCCTTGAGCAACCTTCATGGTTGGTTTGCGGTTCACTTTGCGGCTCGCAGACAGGTTCTGCGGTCGCATAGTGGACCGCATTCTTGACTTGAAATTTGCCCAGGAGTCTGTTTTTGTCTGCGATCTGACTGTTCATTCTGCTGCTCGCATATGTGATCGGCGATCGCATAATGCGTCGCAGAACCATCTTTTTGCTGCATTTTGCTCTTTTCTTGTCTTTTTTTGCTTTCATTTCCATGCTCCTGGGTCCTTAGTCCTTATGTACTGTAAAAACACCAAAATTACATAAGTCAAGGAGATAATTGCATTAAAACAAGCTAAAATCTAAGAAATTAGTATTGAAATGTGCCGAAATTCTCCGGCACATCAACACCCCCAACTTAAACTCTTGCTTGTCCTCAAGCAATTAACACGACACTATTCTACTCTAGACTCTATTTACAGAACATGAACCAAAAATGACCATGGGTGGTGTTTGTTGCTAGTACTTCAAGCATGTGACTTCTATTGTTTTTTTTTCTTCCTGAACCAACCAATATATACAAGGAAAACTAATCAACTTGTGAATTTTGAGCTTCCGACAAGGTGACTAAGTGCTACCCTCAGCTGAGTGCACTTGTATCTGACTCCAAAGCTCAACTTATATTCAACCTTACAGCTCATGTGCCCTCACTAGAAAGAAAGTCCCAAAATCACAATATATACAATGACAACAAAACAAAAAGGGACGAATTCACAAAGACACTCACTCTCGGAAAAAGTTTCAAATGTTTCAACATACCATACCATAGGCTTGCCCTTATTTTAATTCATCGCTTTATTTTAAGAACGCTCGGTTGGAGATCCCATAAGGTCTTTTTAAGCTTGTAATGTAGGTTCGGGGAAGGGTAGGATAAGCATTTGGATACAAGTGACTTCACCCTCCTTGAACACTACTCACATTTTTCATTCTTTTGCACTATGTTCCTTTTCAACCCACAAAGCCTCATTGGCATTTAGTTCCCAATGTAGAACCACCTTAAATACTTCTCTCATTTCCTTCACGGCTCCATAATTTATATATATGCAAAGATTTCTCTCTTTCTCCCCTTTTCTTTTTATTTTCTCTTTTTTTTTATACATGTTTTCTTTTTGGAGCTTGAATAATTTAGCACACACACTTTGAGGTATATGATTCTACACTCAATGTACCACCTTACCACTTTCCATTTTGACATCACACCCCCAACTTAGGCTTTTAGCCTCATTCGCAATGTTCAAGGAGGGACAGGTTCAACAGAGGGAATTATTTTACAAAAAGGGAAAGGTTTGTACTGAGGTAGCCAAAGAAAAGGTTAAAGGCTCAAATGGGGTGACTAAGGATGTTAACTGCACAATGGGTAACTTGAAAGGCTAATTGGCTTGAAAGATCACAAAGACTGCCTAAGGTCATCTCTCAAACCAAGTGCAATTAATTATAAGTGTCGAAAGACCAACCGGGCAAGTTCTAGATAGCAGAAGTAAACACAAGAACTATATACCCCAAAGAACTCGCACACATGGCACACGAACTGTTTGGCTCACATAGTCTGAAACCCTCGAGTCAACACTTGGCAACTCAAAGCTTTCATCGTATGTATAAGTATAACTCTAGGTAGACATAGAGCCACAGAGCGAGCCTCAAGTTCACACAGTTGATAGTTTTCTCTAGAAGGGTATATGCTATATACAGACACACATGCTTGAGACTAGACAATTACACCACACAGGTCAAGGTATTTCATTCTGCTGTCCTGGTTCTACTATTACACCCTTGGAAAAGAACCTGGCGAAGAAAAACCAAAGGGAATTCATTACTAATTACTAAAGATGGATGACTATCTACTTGTTCTTTTTTTTATATGCATCAGGGTATCATATTCACAAAGGTACCATAACCTCTGCATCTAAATCACAGAAACACTAATATAAACATGCTCACAAACTAAATAACACCACTAATATAAACATGCTCACAACTAAACAACACAACTTCTGTACAGAACCCATATTAACATACAAAGGACACAAAAATACACATATTTCCAGCAGTTGCTAATGTCACAAAGATACCAGTATCACAAGGCTAACAAAATGTCATCACAAGGCTACCACCCCCAACTTAAGATCATGCATTGCCCCCAATGCAGAAAAACAAAAACAAAGAGTGTAAGGGGTACGTCCCTCGAGGCGGCACTAAGCGCTATGGGAGGTCAGTAGCCTGCTCTGTGCTAGGAAGGTCGTACTCTCCGAGGTCTGGAACGTGAGACTGAGAGCTCGGGCCTGAGGAGGAAGTCACAACTGCAGGAGGAATCCCTGGCTGGTCCATAACTGGGGTTGGGACCTGTGAGCTGCTAGCCTCGCCCAATGATGGCTGAGTGGCCGATGGATCT